CCAAACGAACTAATTTTTTAAACTTCGCCCTGATTTTTTTTTAGTTTAAATCAACCAAAGAAAAATCTGGTCCGATTTGTTTGTTAATGTTGAAAAATTAAAAGTTTTTTCAAAAATATTTAATGTTTGCAATAAAAGTTACATTTTTTTTTACATCTATAGTGTATTTTTATGTATGAGAGAGTAATAAAACAATAAATTATGTATGCAAATCCCTAAACTGTTGATACGGGTGACTCAATGAAAAACTGATATTTGTCAACAAGTTTACAGAAGTATATAGGAAAACAATTTTAAATTGAGTATGACCACCAGGTATAAAGCTTGGAGCAGAATAGAATACAACACTTGTGAGGGTTACTAATCCCCAAATAAGGTTGCCAGTGTCGGAGTGATGGAGGTTAACAGGTACTAATGAATTTGCAAGAAATGTAAGATGTTTATTTTATTGGTTATATATAACCAATAAAAGTTTAATAAGTACCTACCTATTTGCAAAATAAAGTTTAATTCTTTAGATAAAATAAAACGTTTTATTTTATCTGAAATGAGTGCATTCCACGAAGTAAGGGTTTCAACAATCAAACATTTAATTCTTTAATTCCAGGAATCTACGACAGTAATTGACTAGATATTTACCTTCTAAACTTATTCCACAGAAAATATGATAGTGGGTTTTTCCATTTTGTAGGAAGGTCCAAGTGGCGTATTCAAAATTCTTAACAGTTCACTAAAAGTAGGTACTTCAGTTGCAAGGTGCAGTTTATTGTGTATACTAGTGTTATGGAAAATTTGGAAGTGCCGTGTAAACGCCGAAAAATTGGTCCTTCAACAGTTAATGAAAATACATTAATATTTAATTGTTTTAAATAATTTAAAGACAAACGTTTATGTGAAAGTGTTGATGAGACCGTTGAGTTAGTTAGCAGTACACTTGGTGTTGGGAAATCTACGATTTACAGAGTTATTAAAGAAGAGAAATGTGGTAGTTTTCAAATGCCACGTAATGCTCCAGGGAAACCAAAATTTCAAATAGAATATCATTTTAAAGAAGGATTTCGACGGAAAGTGCATGAATTCTTCTTTAGACAAGAATTTCCAACATTGGATAAAGTTTTTGTCTAAGTTCGAGATGATAAGGATTACCCAGAAATGAGTCGAAGTACGTTATGGAAACTTTTAAAAGAAATAGGCTTCCGCTGGAAAAAGAATCCCAGAAAGTCTATTTTATTAGAAAGAAGCGATATTGTCATATAGAGAAGACATTTTCTAAGAACCATAAAGGAAATGAGAAACCAAAAAAGAAAAATATTTTATCTTGATGAAACATGGATCAATGAGGGTCATACACCAAATAAATTTTGGCAGGATGAAACTGTTACAAGTCAAAGGCACGCTTTTGTAAATAACTTATCTACTGGTTTAAACCCACCATCAGGAAAGGGACGCAGGCTGATAATAGTACACATTGGCAGTTCAGACGGTTTTGTTGAAGGTGGTTTATTAACTTTTGAATCAACTCGCACCGGTAACTACCATGAAGACATGAACGCTGATGTCTTTCAAGAATGGTTCGAACAAATGATAGATCTTCTTCCTAAGAACTGTGTAATAGTAATGGATAATGCAAGTTATCACTCCAGACTTATAGAAGGACTGCCCACAACCAAGTGGTTAAAAAAAGACTTGCAGAATTGGCCGAGTTCAAAAAATATTACGTACCATCCCGGATCTATAAGAAAGGAACTTTCGTTCCTTTGTGTGCCGTCCCGTTCGTTGTGTGCCCTTCATAAAGAAAAATTTAAAAAATACGAAATTGATGAAATTGCCAAAAATCGTGGAATGACAGTACTTAGATCCCCACCATATCATTGTGAATTAAACCCGATTGAACTGGTATGGGCACAGATAAAGAGTGAAGTTTCAAGAAAAAATACCACTTTTAAAATTCATGATGTTAAACAGTTGTTTTTGGAGGCCGTAAATAATGTAAAACCTGAAAACTGGGAAAAGGCAGTAAATCACACTATTAAAGAAGAGGAAAAAATGTGGAAGCTGGACAATATTACGGAGAAAATGATCGAGCCAGTTATTATAAATCTTGGTTCTGAAAGTTCATCTTCTGAATCTGATTTGGATTTGTAACAAGTAGCTGTAAGTTTTATATTAATATTTTTATTCATCTATTTAACATACCTTAGACGGTTTTAAAAACTCTTTTTCTCTTTTGTAATTTTTAAAAATTAAAAAAATGTGAATTTTTTAAAACCCTTTTTAATGTAGGCCAGTCAGTTCTAATATAGTGTGTGATAAAAGAGGTCACTTTTGTTTACATACACATAACACTTTATAACACTGAAATAATTCATTTATTTTTTCAATTAATCTTGAGCACGCCCATGGAGTGGTCGGAGGTACCAGTTAAAACTATGCTAATTACTCTCTCGTTCATAAAAATAAACTATAGGTTCTAACTTAATTTTCTTCTTTAAAATAAAAATATTTCAACCAAAAACAAAACCAATTTTTCCCCGACTTCTGTTCGACTTCCCCAAAAAGGTAGGCTAAAAAAACATTTGTTTTAGAGATCTTTCTTATTATTGAGACAGAGTACGGAAAAACACAAGGTCTATGAACCTTGAAAGATTTTATAAAGGTTACTTATGAAGTGAGGGCAAAAACTTAATGTCTTTGTAGATTAAGTGGCTGTCGTATGGTTTGACAATTATTTCAAGTAAAATGGATTAAAAAAAATTTTTGTTTAAAATCCTCTATAAAAGGTATATAAAAATGCCTCAAACGGGCTATCACAAACACATTGCAAAACGTTTTCGGATTAAACAATCCATCATCAGTGCAAACGGTTGTACATGCTAGTAGCCACCAAAATATATGGGTAAAAACCCTTTAAATGTTTTAAATTTTAAGTTGTTTTACATTGTTTTACATACTCTACATGAGTAAAATGGTCCTGAAACGAAGTGTCTACGAGGACCTGTTGATAACTGAGTTGTTATCAACAGGTTATCAGTGGCATTGCCAGGATCATGACAACGTGAGTTACATGACTGGGAAGCTAATAGGAGAATATAACAAATGGGGTCTTGAAGTCAACATTAAGAAAACTGAAGACATGTGTATTGGAGGGACAAAGCAGTCCATTCTATTAGACGATGGGGTAGAAATAAGACACTGTGATGAATACAAGTATCTGGGTATGAAGATAACTCAAGATGGAACAGTCGATGCTGCTTTAAAAGACAGGAACATACAGGGTAGAAAAGCCATATCCATGATGAACGGCATTCTGTGGGACCAAACAATATCTAAAGCGAACAAACAACTCATATACAACACTATACTTAAAAGTGTAATCACATATGGCAGTGGAGTTTGGACAATGAAACAAAGAACAGAGAGACTGTTCCTAGCAACAGAAATTGACTTCTGGAGAAGAGCAGCAGGCAAATCAAGAAGAGATCGAATACCAAATGAGAGAATACGAGAAATAATGTGAGTCAAGCATACAATAGTTGATGACATAAAAACAAAACAGTTAATATGGTACGGCCATGTACAGAGAACGCCAGATGACAGGATTCCGAAACCGATTTTGACGTGGATACTACAAGGGAAAAGAAAAAGAGGAAGGCTGATAAGAAGCTGGAGAGAGGGAATTGAAAAAGAACTAGAGGAAAGAGAAATCCCTCCAGGCCTATGGTTAAATAAAGAAGAATGGCGTTTAGGAGTAGGAAGGCATCGGAGAACGCTGTAAACCGATAGTAGTAGTAGTAGATATCGAATTTTTACCGTCCAGCTGATACAAATTTTATTAAACATTGATTTAGCGGGCGTAAGAGATCGGTTTATTCTACACAAAAAATGCTAATAAACATTTTTGTTTAAAATGGTCTCAGCTACATTTTTTGTTTAAAACATTTTTTTCTACGATGTACAGATTCTTATAGATTTTTTGTGTTTTTACCATCCTATGAGGGGTGTTTTAGGGGGAAGTCCGGGGTAAAAGTGGTAAACTTTGTTGCATCTTTTTGGGGTCCCAAAATTACTCTTCTTAGCAAAATTCAGCTTGTTTGTATGATTTTTAGGGGTCTTTGATGACTGGATTATAACGATGAATTACTAAACAAATATTATACAGGACGATTGTAACAATCAAAACAACTTCTTAAATTCTAAAAATTAGCAAAAGGGTTGTATTATTTAAAATGTATAGAGCGAGTTGTGACAGTATTAATACTTATAATTTAAATGGATGTTCAAAAAAAATTAATTTTTGCAAGAAAAGCCACATTTTTTACAATATGTGTTTCAATTTGCCAATTTTTAAATTCGGAGTTAAATTTGATTTTTTTATTTAAAAATTAAATTATCGTGTGGGAATAGTGTGCTATTTTATTTAACAATTTGTCTAATTTATAAAATTCTTATTATACTTTTCAGAAACCGTATACAGAGTGAAATTTTTACTCTGAACCAAATGAACTATTTTTTTAAACTTCGTCCTGATTTTTTTTTAGTTTAAATCAACCAAAGAAAAATCTGGTCCGATTTGTTTGTTAATGTTGAAAAATTAAAAGTATTTTTTAAAATGTTTAATGTTTGCAATAAAAGTTACATTTTTTTTACATCTAGGGTTCACTTTGCTAAAATTTTAATTAGTTAAATTTGATTTTTTTTAATTAAAAATTAAGTAATCGTGTGGGGAAAAATTTATAAAATTCTTTTTAGAGTTTTCAAAAACCTTATACAGGGTGAAATTTTATACATGAAATAAACGAACTTATTTTTTAACACCGGACCTGTTTTTTTCTAGTTTGAATTAATCAGTTGATTAAGTGGTAGTCATGTAACATTTGTTTAAAATGTGAGACACATCGAACTCAACATTCAGAAGTCATGATAAATAGTTATTTCAGTCAAAATTAACTTCTTTGGAAACTAAAATCTAATCTACAAATTATTCAGATCATAATTTTTACCTGCCACTTGAAGGTTTTCCAAAATCAGAACGGCGTTCTCATCGGGTTCTTCTCTACCGTCAAGATTGTATCTTGAAGCAATCAATTTCGGGAAAATCTCGACTTCCTTTAGACCGTGTTCCTTTAAAAACTTCTGCATTGTCGGTATAATTTCCTTATAGAAGGCAATTTCTGGTTTAAACATTTGACTATGCATGGCAGCAGCATCTTTTGGCATATTTTCGTCGACTATACAGCATTTCGCGACAAAATGTTCGGTGTTTGTAGAATTGGTGTCCTTATTCCTAGTTGTTACTTGCAATTTAAGCATGTCACTAAAGTAATTCTCTCCTGGAAGTGTAAGATTTGCTATTGTTTTATCCACTATTTCGACATTCTCTCCAAAAACTGGTTTCAATAAATTATTTAAGTCTTTTATTCGTTCGCCTTCCATTTTTTAACACAATACGCTGATACGATATCAAATAAGTTTTTATGACTAAATAATAATTAAACATTGGAGGTGTATTTATAATTATTAGTACATTTTGCATTACCTATCTATTATAATGATCACATATCTAACACTTCAATCAATAAATCTTATCTTAAAATCGAGTAATGAATGTTTAAGAATTTTGTATAATAATAATCATGGTATGATAACAGGGAATCTACACGTATTAATTTATGATACGAATGTGATTACAGCTATTATAAAAAAGAGATATACCAATCAATATTATACATACCATCGAAAACTTTTACTCTCATAATCGAAAGCAGGCAAAGATAAACGGACAACTAATACAATATATAAGTAAAGGTGATTCAATAAGCTCACTGTTATTTAATATAATATTCGATGACTTAAACAGCGTCTCGTCTCTGACGATGAATCGTCTCCTTGACGTTCCAAATTGAGCCTATTTTGTGTCCTGTTTTCTTTGTGCTGTCCTTTACCTTCTGCACATTTATGAGAAAAATAGCATGGTGCTCCCTTTTCGCATAGTAAGCATCTATCACACGATTGTTTTTCATTAAAATTCTTTTTTCTAATTTTATTTACTGCTGCTTTGAATAGTTCGTTAGTGGTACAGCCAAACCACTCTCTTAAATTTCTCATCCAGGACATTCTTCTACGGCCTGGATTTCTGCGTCCGTGGATTTTTCCTTGCATTATATTTTGTAGGAATGTGTACTTTGTCCTCTCATCAGGTGGCCTAAGTATTCTCTTTTTTATATTTAGTATAACTTCTGGATCGTTATTTATTCTGCGTATTACCTCATCGGTAATCTACAACGGACCTACTAGATCCAGACATAGAAATAAAACGTAGAATAGCAATGACTAAAACTACTTTACTAAGGCAAAGAATGGTTAAGTGCTATGTTTGGTCCGTACTTTTGTATAGTGTAGAAGTGTGGACGCTAAAAGTATCGATCATGAACAAAATTGAAGGATTGGAAATGTGGATTCATAAACGAGTGCTGAAGATATCTTGGACAGCAAGGAAAACTAATGAAGAAGTACTAAGGAGCGTCAACAAAGGCAGAGAACTGCTAAAGACTGTTAAACATCTAAAATAGAAAAAAACAAATACAGGATAATTATTCCATATTGCAGAAGATCGAGAAGTCTTCGCAATGGTGATCACCAACGTCGGATAATTCTGATATGACACGCGAACAAGAAGAAGAAGATTACCTCTTCATTTGTAATTTTATCCACTCAACTTATTTTTAGTATACGGCGGTAGCACCACATCTCAAAACTTTTAAGATTTTTAATATTCCTCTGTTTAATAGTCCATGCTTCAACACCGTATAGCATAGTACTGAATACATAGCATTTGAACATTCTACTTCGTCGATGAATACTAATATCACGATTACAAAAGAATTTTGTCATTTTTATAAAGGTAGACCTGGCAATTTCAATACGTCCTTTTATCTCGTGATTTTGGCCACCTGTTTCATTGATGAGGCTTTCCAAGTATTTGTATTTGTACAATAGAATAAGGCAGTAGACACTTTATTTCAAAAAAACAAAGATTCAATGCAAACCTGTACATTCACAATAACGAAATCGAACGGGTGCACAAATATAACTATTTGGGAACAAGTGTTAATAACAACAATGACATCACAGAAGAAAGAAATACTAGAATTGGAAAGGCTCGAGCTGCTTTTGTTAATATGAAGGACATTCTGGAAAGTCATTACATTAACTTAAACCTGAAAATGAGAATGGTTAGATGCTACATCTTTTCGATACTGCTGTACAGAGTAGAGACTTGGACTTTTAAACAAGAGCAATACCGATAAACTAGAGGCCTTCGAAATGTGTATATATAAAAGAATTTTGAAAATACCTTGGACAGACAAAATAACAAATAGTGTAGTTCTTCGAAGAATGAACAAAGAACAGGAGCTGCTGATCACCATCAAGAGAAGAAAGTTGGAATATCTTGGTCATGTGATGAGAGGGAAAAAGTACCGATTGCTCCAGTTAATTATCCAAGGCAAGATTCAGGACACACGAAGCGTAGGGAGACGACGTATATCTTGGCTGCGCAATTTAAGAGACTAGTTCCAGTGCAGATCTAACCAATTATTTAGAGCAACAGCTTCAAAAATACGAATAGCAATGATGATTGCCAAACTCCGTAGCGGAGAGGGCACTTGAAGAAGAAGAAGAAGAAGTAGACACTATCAAAAAAGAGCCAAACTGAACTAACTCAAGTGGCAGATATCAAGAGAATGTTCTGTTATCAAAATATTCAGGTTAAAATTATTATATTGAAAGCCACTCATGTTCCATTGCATCAAACTAATTTTTTTAAGTGGGTTGTTAGTATAACTCATAATTTGTTTTATTTTTTAATAATATTTATACTGATCATCTAAATCAGGAACTGATTTGTTTAGTTCTGAATATGTTTATACTAATTCTCTAATTTTAGTTCGTTCTTCTTTATTCATATTTGTAAATTTTTTGTATAAATCGTCTATTGTATTACAGTAATTTTGCGATGCACTAACAGGCGTTGATTTGTTAAAATTAAATTTTAAATTATTATTATTAATACCAGATATAGATGGAGTGTCATTAATTTGAACTGTATTATTTAGTTGAAATAATCTACCATTTTGATTTATTAATTGTGATTCATGTAGAGGTTTATCATATGAAATATTTAGTTTCTTTATTGTTCCCGTAGATTTAACTGCAGAAACGTAACTCCTTTTAGAATTTATGCACTGGCTTACAGTAGTTCTTCTTTGATTAATATTAATACTGTTGTTTTCTGTAGTATGTTTTGGTTGGACGCTTGGCAAGTTAGCCGGATGGTATTGACTATCTTCTTTTTTATAGGCTTTCCGTTATTTTTAGTATATTCAGGACAGTTTTTATTAGCATAGAGCTTTTATTATTAGGAAAGAGCAATGTTAGGTATACGACTGTCAGATAAAAGAGGAACGACTGTGTAAGATCAAAAACAAAAGTCAAGGACATAACAAAAAAAATTGACAAACTTAAATGGAGCTTCGCGGGCCACACTGCTAGACAAAAAGACCAAAGTTGGAATACTACAATACAACATTGGAGACCTTATAAAAGTAAACGACCGAGAGGAAGACCACAGATGAGATGGGTTAATGACATTAAACGAATAGCCGGAACAAATTGGAAATATGTTGGTCAGGATTGAGACCGATGGAAGGAGTTGGGAGAGAAATATGTCCAAACATGGACGATAGAAGGCTAAGAAGAAGGAAAGGCATTTTGCCTCTAGATGTGACCCTAATTCACCCTCTTCCACCTGTTTTCCACAATTATGACATTTTCGTAAGGTATTGTGCCTGTAGGAGCATATTAAACCGGGTTATTATCTTTAATAATTTTCCTGTTTAGTCTTTTGATGGCTATAACATTGAAGAGTGAGATTTAATGATTTTGTTTTATTTGATCTTCGGTTAGTTAACATCTCTGATGATGTCCTTACATGTTATCTGATTATATAGATTGTATATTTTATATTTGTCTTTAAGATTGACAGAGTTATTAATAAAATTGCTAGCCGTTTCGCTGTTTGTGAACGAAACACAAGTTCAATTCTGTTAAGATTCCTATATGCATATAAGTAAAAAACGTGCTTTGGAAAGAAGTGCGGTTACGATTACGAATATTGAAAATTCTGTCAGAATTATAGAATAAAAATTACAATGAAAGTACTCACCCCAAGAGAATTCTGCAGACCATAAAATGAAGCTTATAACAATTTTTGCCTTATTTTATAAATTTTAATGTTAGACAAAACATATCCCACTATGTCAGAAAAGCTGATTGACGAAAAGTAAGTGGGAGATTGAAATGAGGTTAGCACAGATGTCATAGGATGTGTGCCTATAACGGAAGTAGCTTTTCTGTCAACATAAAACAGAATATTTAGTCTACTAGAAAGAAAGAGAAAGAAAAGAAATACACAGGGCGCATAGTACGTACTTTTTGAATAAAAAAATAGTAAAAACGAAACTGGAGATAATAGAATTCATAAATTAATAAAGAAGTTAAACTAAAATAATTATTTAAATATATATTAATAAAGATGTAACGTTTATAACGTCACATCTTGTATATAAAATTTTAATGGTAAAAATCAATTAAATTAGGATATCATATTATATTTACTCTAAAGTGGCGAAATTCTACAAGTTTATTGATTAACTTTTTTATTTTAAATTTTCAGATTATATTTGAAAACAAGTTTCAAGTTGATTACACAGCAAGTTTCTTACCAACAAAATTTTAATAATGATCTTATAGTTTGTAGTTTGCTGATTGGTTGAAATATTCCAATTATAAAATTAGACAATCCATTATTTCAACAATTTTTAAAAAAGTACTACAATAATGAAACTATGAATTATGAATTATGAAAAAAAAAATGCAGAATCCAGCATGCAATTTACTGTTGAAGCGATTAACACTGCAATTGGGAATAATTCAATATCGATATTTGTTGATGAGACGACTGATATTAAATAATGGTATATTGAAAATTTGGTTATAGGAAGTTTAAACGGGAGTGAGTGTAGCACCGAATATTTAGTTTGCTTTAACGAGTTGCAAAAAACGAACAATGATATGATCAAAGCTGGACAGCATTTAAAAATATTTTTTCCAAATTTGATACACGTTACTTAATTAAATAGAGTAGCAGAATCTGCAAGGACAGAGTTTCGATTGGTCAATGCCCTTATATCAAATATAACAAAAAATATTTTTAAATGACCCTCTGCGAGTTACAGACGTATAAAGATCGTTTGTACCTTTACCACCTGAACCAGTGATAACTAGATGGGTAACATGGTTAAATTCAGTAAATGTCATAACCGATAACTCTGAGGGAATAGAGACGTCATTTGTAGTTTCGATGTAGATAGCTCAGGTGGCATAAAAATGCATGGACGTTTTAAAAAAAC